TAAAAATGGATAGACCCTCAGTTTCCCCTTCTGCTCAAGGAAACATATGAATTTCCAAAATTAAAAATTGATAAGGACTGAATTAAAAGTAAAATGTCTTTTTCTAAGGGAGTGGAATACAAGGTCCATTTACACTAGAATGGCCCAAAGTCAGGGGTAAGACTTCTGGCTTTGGTTATGGTAATCAAGCAACATTGGCATAATACTTCTAAAACCCCCACTTCAAAGGACAATACGGTTTTAATTTCAATACTTAAAAAGATGTTTTGTAGGATGTAAACTGCAAGCTGAGCACAAAGACCCTGAAAACCTCAGACTTAATGGCTCCAGAAAACTGAACAGAAATTTGATCTCTAAGACCCCAACGATCAAGAAGGCCCAGGAAATGCTCATAGCCTCTTGAACCAGATGAACTGATCATCTACCTGAGAACCCCGCCCCTAACTTGGTCCTTACAAAGCGTTTGTGTGTGGGCAACACCTCAGGGAGACCAGGGCTCTACATCAAGAGCTGCCTGCTCTCCTTGCTTTGTCTCTGGCAATAAGGCTGCACTTTCCCTGGTCACTGTGCCTACAGTTTGGTTGGGTGAGTGAAGCTGATCTGACTTGACCACTGTTAGGCCAAGTTAACTTAATCACCGCCATGTTAGGGAGTGCTGGGCTGAGTTAGCTTAATTGCTACCATGTAAAGGCTTCAAGGATGGAGCCCACTGTGTTAGGGCCTCAAGGACAGAAAGAGTCTGGGAACTCTCAGATGAGTGGAAAACAGGAGGGCCCAGTACCTCGGAGGCAAGGTCATCCAGACCCTTAGCTGAGAGCCCTTATCTAGACCTGAGCAGGTGGTGCCTGCTGGACCCTCGCTTCCCATACCCCCTCCTTTGTGTGTGGTACATTCTATGGAAAATCCTGAACTATAAAAGATCCCTTTATCTTAGGTACTGGGTCCTTGTTAAGGCCCGCTGCATCTGGCAGAAACTCGGATCGCAGTTAGCTGGAAAAAGAATAAAAGCCCCTTTTGCAGTTGCATTGTCATGGTCTTTTCTGCAACTCCATTGGTTAGACCGCTTTCTGGACCCTTACACCATCAACAGGCAGAGAAGTGAAGCAGGGATTGTGGCATAACCACCCCCTTTGTGCTGCTTTCTCTTACTTCCCTCTCTGGCAAACACGTATGCCCTGTGGCAATTCTTTTCCCTTTATTCATGACAGCACACGTTAGAATGTGAGCCTAGCACACCCAACGGGGTCTGGTCATGCTACAATCCCCGTCCTTCAGTTCTCCAGTCCACCATTCCAGGCACTTTGCAGGCAACTAGGCCAGGGATTCCAACTGAGGTCACCAAGTGGGACTCAGCTTCTCTTGAGCAGTGCATTATTGCTGCCCTACAGATCCAGCCCACCGCCTAGCACCAGCAATTTAAAAAATACAGAGGAGCCTGGGGTATATATCTCACCATAGTAACTGAAACAAGTTATGGGAGGGTGATAAGTGGAAAAAGCAAAGCAAGCAAAAGCTGTCTTGGTAAGCAGATAAAGCTTTGCAGGTAATCTCTAGCTCCCCTCAGGAAGAACAGATATGGCCAAGGTTGAAAGTTTCCGTGTCAGACCATAATAAGCCAGACCTTTAGTCTCCAAGTTAACTTGCCTAGATCTGCATAAGGCAGATAAGGGAGCCCTCAGAGAAAGCCCATTTGCAGATGCAGTTTACTTCACTAATGGAGATTTCTTCTATAGAGGCAAATAGCCCCCAAGAAACACCTTTAGTTAGCTATTCCCAGGTCTGCAGCACCTCTGAACATCCAAGTTGACGTATGGGGGCTGGCAGGTGGCATGGCGGTTAAGATGCTAGACTGCCACCTGGCTGACCGCAGTTCAAGTCCCAGACAAGGCAGCTTGCTGTTCTCACTCTTTCTCTCTCTCTCTCTATATATATATATGTGTGTGTGTATGTGTCTCTGGTAAGCACATGTGTCCTGCAGGAAATTTAAAAACAGTAATAAAATTAAATAAATATTTTTTTTAAAAAAATATGCTGTGGGACCAGTAGTTAGTGTAATGGCTATGTTGCTGGACTCCCACGTAGTCGACCACGGTTCGCGTCCTGGACCCGGTGGCTTAAAACTCACGCCGGGCACGTGTACGTGCATGCCCAAGATCCCGAGGAGAAGGATTGCAGCATGGCCATCCCCTATGGGGGGGTGATTTCTCACTTTCTGTCTCTCTGTCTCTGGCGAATGCACACGCCCTCTAGCACAAACCTCTTGCACCCCCCCTAAAGCAAAAACCTCCCCAAAAAAAAAAAAAAAAAGAAAGAAATATGCTGTGGGACCAATAGACAGTGTAGCCATCATGTCACTGGACTCCCACATGGCCGACTGCAGTTTGAGTCCCAGACCCAGTGGCTTGAAAATCACACTGGGCGTATATACACACATGCCCAAGATCTGGGTGAGCGTGGAGGGGCAGAAAGGATTATGGTATGTTAATCCCTTCGAGGTGTGATTTATTTGTCTGTTTCTCTTTCCC